TCCTTAAAAAAGCTTTTCAAAGCCCAACTCTCATGGCATTAGAAAGAGGATCATGAAAAACCTATAAAAAAATGGTTCATGAAATTTTAGTTCACTCGTAAAGCTAAAGTCCGCCTGCTCTAGCAAAAAATGCCCACTGTGTACTGAGCCTCTGCTACATCCATACAAACCATCACACTAGTCGTAGTTAAAATCGTCATTTGTAAACAATGTCTTGAAGTGAATCATTCTTATCGCAATTCTTTTTTAAATTTTAACAGGGAATTAAATGTAAATATTTGGTATTCTGTGCATGGCTTTTATCATTTAAAATAAAGAAGAAAGAAAGAACTATTCATAGGCTCCACTGTGAAAACCATGAAAAAAGTTTCATTCAGGTTATACGAACAGGTAATTGTACTTTTGGTTGTATATTAAATCGCTAACCATTATAAGAGACATGTACAACGAATTTAGAAGGATACCTATGAATTGATCGTTGATTAGTCATCTGCTGGTGTAACAGAACAAACATTTCTATCATTGTAACAATTTGGTTGTTGCTTGAATACTATAAATTTTCACGCAAGTGAAAAATGGAATTTTTGCGATTATTACCACACATACTACAATATTCGTTTTCTGTAAAATGAGATTTTTCGTGATTTTTTCGAACTCTTACTTGGAAGATTGAGTCGTCAAGATTTGTTATTGGAATGACTTCGTGCCTTGCAAATAAATTGTTCAAAGTAGTCACATGAGAAACAGTATTATCTTCCGGAAAAAAAACGCTCCTTAGTCAGGCAGTCCTTCAACTTTCTGCAAGCATCATCAAAGCCCATTATTCTAATGTATTTTTCTCATGAAGGAAACTCTCCAAGTGAAAAGCGTTTTTTCCTCGAAACATATAACCCTATACGTAATCGACGATGTTTCCGAATATGATAGTTGGGTCAGCCCACGTCACTCTAGAAATCCGGTTTTCCGCAGTAAAAACTCTTTATATCAAAATCGATTTCTAATCTGTCTCATTCACAGAGTATGTCGAGTTGTGTATGTACATAGTGATTTCTGCCTATCGGATGTGTCTCTATACGTAATGTATTGTACATGTTCGTTCACGACAACGGCATTCATTACTTCTCTAATTCGCCAGACGTGAAAACTGACATTTTGATAAACAAGATAGTTTGACTAATATAACTTACTTAACTGACACGGTACATTTTGCCATGTCGCCATGTCTAGTTTTGTCTACAATACCATCCTCGTCGTTTAAACTGTTTGGTTGTACAGTAGTTTATCTATTGTTAGACACGAACATAAATATCTGGGGCGAATTGAGATAACGCCATGTAGTGTACAATTAAACAAAACGAAACAAATTAAAAGATTCATCTGATTGAATCTGACTGTTGGCGAAACCGAATGCTACTTAAAATACGACAAAAACGCATTTGTCTGTACTATGTAGTAAGAAACAAAGAAATTTAAACATTGATTTTAACCTAATGCTAAATATTCTAGATTATCAATCTTTCTTCAAGCTTATCTTATGTCATCACCTTCACAGTTCGAGCGAATGTCTACGGGTGTACCACCATCCAAATGTGGTCTTCTTCTTCTTGGCAATACCGGTGTTGGTAAATCATTTTTAGCAAATATTTTATTAGATCGCGAGGCATTTGTACATGAATCTACGTCAAATTCAGTAACGCACTTTACTGAACTTGAGGAATGTCATGTTGGTCATACAAGCTATGCTATATTTAATATTCCCGGTTTAATTGAAGCAGATCAGGCACGTGTCGATATGAATAAAGCTGAAATTTATAAAGCATTTCAGCTACGTCCAACCTCAATTGTTGCATTTATTTTTGGTAGTGATGCGAATCTTCGTCTTCGTGACGAAGATATCATTACATTCAAAGCAACTAATGAAGCCTATCGATTTCAATCGGAGTCGTTATTATTTATTATTAATGGTTTACCTGGTAATCGTCCACAACAATATGAAGGTGAAACAATAGTTAAACTAGAAGAATTATTACAAATGAAACATATTCGTACATGTTTTTTGAATCGGATTAATAGAGAAGATAAGAATGATAAAATAGAACTTCGATTAAAGCTAGTTGATGCAATATTTCGTTGTACGCCACGTATACATGAAAGACATTCAGACATAAAATTAAATGTAGATGTTATGAAAGAATTACAAACTGAATCAGAAAAAGAGCAAAATAATTTTGAAAGTCGTTTAGCTTCATTGCAAGCACAAATTATTGAAAAACAAAAGGAATTTGAACTACATATAGCACAGCAACCGAGGGAAATATATCATTATCATGAGAAACTTAGTGAAAGGGTTGATATGTGCGTTATATGTTAGAAAAAAGAAACTGTTTGGTGATGGAACTATTTTGTAGAGATTGATTTTTTTAATTCTATATTTCTATGATCATGGATCTTTTTTCTTTCAATAATATAGTAAAGTATAAAAGAAATTTAAATTTTTGCAAGGGATGAGCGTGAACGACTTTCATACGCTTTTCTTTAGAGATCTGCAGGTTACGACTTTTTGGCAACCTATCACCTAACCTAGAGAGGTTTCTACAACCTAGACCTAACCTAACCTATAAATGTTTTTTCATAACCTAACCTAGGTTTACCTAATTTAATCTGTGAAGTTTTTTCTTCAACAAACCAACCATAAAATCACATTATATTAAAGTTTTGTAAAACAAAAGGTCGTACACAACATCACTATTTAAATGCTGCTTTCTTTGTTCTACAGGGTGGCACATAATCTTTGCCTCCCCTCTATAACCTAAAGTATCAACGATATCACAAATGTATTTTATATCAAACTAAAGCGCGTCAAAAACTGGATTTATTGGTACTAAATACTAGAGATTATGAAGGCCTTTTAATGTC